CACGTCGAATAGGAATGAAGATCCAGACCAGGTCTCCTGGTTCGTACATCTTTCCTGTATGTCGAGCGTCGTAGTTAGTTTTGTTCGTCTCTTGAGCCTTGAAGATGTGATGACAGGCTATTTGTCTTGCCTCTGAATGAATTCCTCTCCCTCGGGCGAGCTACTGTAGGGGAAGATAGTGTCAAAGGTCGTCTCAGCCACCCTTCCATGAATCAGGAAGAATGGCGTGAAGCCAGTTGATTCTTGTTTGGCCGTATTGTAGGCAAACGTGATAAAGGGCAACATCTCGTCCCAGTTCTTCTGGTCAAGGTCCATATACATTGATAGCATGTCGGCAATTGTTCTGTTTAATCTTTCTGTTAAGCCGTTGGTTTGGGAATGGTATGCCGTTGTCTTCTTTTTGATGCCACATTTATTAGTCAGCGCCTGAAGGAGTTTTGATTGGAAATTTCGACCTTGATCCATTACTATTTCTCAAGGGGCTCCATGTTTCAGTATGACTTCTTATAAAAGAAATTTCGCAATTTCCTGGGCTTCACCTGATCCTAGGCTTTGAGTTACAGCGTATTTAGTGAAGTAGTCGGTACAAACGACTATCCATTTTTCTTTCCTTGAGATATGGGGAAACGTCCCAATAAATTTATTCCGACCTTTTGAAAGGGGCTGTCCGGAGGCGAAATGGGCTTCAGATAGCCAGGGGGCAATTGAGGTACACCCTTACGACGCTGGCAGTCCTGACAATGGCCCACGTACCTCTTCACTCTTCTGTACAGCCCTGGCCAGTAGAACCTTCTCTTGACTCTGTTGTAGGTTTTAGCGAAACCCAGATGTCCAGCGGTAGGTGCGTCATGCAGGTCGCTCAGGATTTCCATTCGAAGGTGCCTTGGGACCACCAATAGTAAAGGTTGTCCAGTTGGGTCATAATTTTTTCTATAGAGAACCCCTTTGACAATTTTGAACTTGTCGTCTTGCTTGGTAAGTGAAGGCTGAGATATATTTCTGATTATTTCCACAATGTTAGGGTCATTTTCCTGTTCTCTACCGATGTCACTTAGAAGGAATAAAGTGGGAATATCATCATTAAAATTCTTCTCTGTATGTTTTAGAGGATTTCTCGATAGGCAGTCAGCGTCTTGGTGCATTCTCCCAGTCTTGTAGGCAATAGAGACGTCATACTCCTGTAGCCTCAGCGCCCACCTCGCCAATCTGCGTGCAGGATCTTTCAAGTTGGTTAACCAACATAAGGAATGGTGGTCGATTACAACTCTAAAGCAACGTCCGAACAAATAAGGCCTGAATTTTCCAATTGCCCATATATGGCCAGGCATTCTCTCTCTGTTGTTGAATAATTTTGTTCGGCTTTTAAAAGGGTGCGCAAAGCATAAGCGATTACCTTTTTATCACTCCCTTGTTTTTGCGCAAGCACAGCACCTATTCCATATCCACTGGCATCAGTATGTAGTTCAGTTGGAGCATCATCATCAAAATGTCCCAACACTGGTTTTGACCTCAAGGCAATCTTTAATTTCCGAAACGCTCCCTCTTGGGCTGTGTTCCACTCGTACTTTGTCCCCTTAGAGAGTAGTGCGTTAAGGGGGCGTGCGATATCCGCATAGTTCCTAATGAAGCGTCTATAATAAGATGATAAACCAAGGAAGCTTCTTACCTGCTGCAAGTTATTAGGGGCTGGGAATTCGGTGATTGCCTTAATCTCGTCGTCTGGCCGGATCCCATTCTTGTCTACCTGATGCCCAAGGATCTTTATTTTACTGGCACCAAAAGAACACTTGCTGGGATTTAGCCTTAGTCCAACTTTCTTGAAACGGTGCAAAACCGCCTCTATTCGTGCTAGATGGTCCAAAAAATTATCTGCGAACACAACGATATCGTCCAGATAGCACAGACATATTGTCCACCGTAGGCCCTTCAGGAGACCATCTATCATCTTTTTGAAGGTGGCGGGGGCGTTGCAAAGCCCGAAAGGCATGAAAAGCGCATCAATCCGTCTCTTTTTCTTACCAAAACGACCGGTGAAGCCCAAGGACTTTTCGAGGGTTGGACGACTCCAATTTCCATCATTCCGTCAACTTCTTAGGTATAAGAAATAACGAATTTAGAAAAATAGTAGAATAATTCTTCCTGGGGTGAACTTATACGATAATAACAAGGCGAAGGAAGACGAGTATCTTTATTGGTCGTCTTCCTTCGCCTTGTTATTATCGTATAATGTCAACTTCTTCTTGAATAACTTTCCTTTCAGAAGGTGAAACCCGATATGGCCTCCTTTTTAATGGTCTGGCGTCGCCTGTAGTTATCTTATGCTTAGTGATAAGTTCATATGGACTTTTGGTAATCGGATTGAATAATTCCGAAAATCTTTCAAGAAATTCCAAAAGTTCGATCTTGTGACTCGGAGGAAGCTCGGGGGAGATACATGATGAGATATTTTCCATTCCCACAGGCCGCTCAGCATTATCGATATTAGTAAGATTTTCTATTGAACCTTCTAACTTACTTATTGTAGGTTGACTCAACACCTTTAGACCCATAGTTTTCATTAGCTTCCACGATTGGGCAAACTTCTTGCGGCTGGATTTTAATAAACTGAGCTAGGCACATTCCAGAAGGAATTGGTATTTGATTTTTGCTAAAATTAGTCACCCAAATATTGGCCTGGCCATGCCATATGGTGACATAAGAGGAGGGGATAAAAAGCTTTTTTTTCCAAAAGAAGTTTCCTCGAACCCTCAATAACACAATTCTTAATTCCTGCCACGTTGGGTGCCGGGGAACTACCCTCTTGATGGATTTTGGGGGAATAATGTCGTCCGATGCTAGGTAAAGCCGTGCCACGGATGGGTCCTCATTAGGCATTTCTGAAAACAAAATTTCAGATCACAGTCAATAATGGCACTTGACGACTCGAGGAAATCCCTGCCCAAGATGACATCGTGGCTGCAACTGGGAAGGACGAGAAACTTGGCAGTCCGCTGAAATTCATTAATTCCTACTCTCAGGAGACATTTTCCAAGTGGGGAAACAAAACGATTGATTGCGACTTTTAAAGTTATATTGGTGTTCTTGATCATCACAACCTTCAGCGACTCTCTGAAGTTAGCTGAGATGACAGAGTATGACGCCCCTGTGTCAATTAGCGCCTCGACATGACGTCCATTGATGTTTCTACAAATATAGTTTTCGTCTAAGTCAGCTCGCGTCTGTGGAGGTTTTAAGCAACGTCCGACCTTACCTCCCTTACAGGTCGTGTTTCCTAGTTTCCCTGTACCTTTCTGTGGGGAGAACGGCTGGGGATCTGGACTGGTGATCTAGATTGGTATCGTCCTGTTTTTGATCTCCCACGTCCTGGGTGGGGAGAGGAGCTTCTAGGTAAATTACGGCGGGGAGAGTTGCTTTGTTCAAAGTCATCCAATTGCAGCGTTTTAAAGTATGGCATATAGATAGGTCCAGGTCTTTGACGACTATAATAACTGTCCTGGATTATACTTGGTTCTCTTTCTTGGTGGCTACAACGTCTTTCCCAACAATGTTTCGCGACATGTCCTGGCCGATTGCAATAGAAACATATCGGGATGTTATCCTCCGTTCGGAACTGGTCTGATTTCCTCCTCTTTGTCGCTTCACCCATTTCTTGTTTGTCACGGCGATAATTCTGGAAAGCCTTCCTGAAATGGACCATAGGTGCTTTTTCAATCGCCAACAAGGATTGTTCTGCTCGCTGCAAAACCTTTTCTTCTAAAGATTTTGAAGAAATGGAATTCACTTGTTCGTTTGGAATTAATCGGAGCTCTTCCTTGACAATCTCCCTGATCAGATCCTTTAAAGTGTAACCCGCCTCTTCATTTTTAATTGTGGCAACGGAGGGAATCCTCTCGAACCTCACACTACTGATTCTCTTTTTATTGAGTTTCTCAATCCGACGGCAGTGGTTGGTGAAGTCCACAGTTGTAGCTACCTCAATTGTGAGGAGGATCCGGTAAATGTCGTCAGCAACTCCCTTCATGAGGTGGCCTACCCTGTCTTCTTCAGACATGTTTGGGTTTAGCTGGCGACATAGGTTCAGCACATCCTGAATATATAATTCTATGGACTCATCAGGCTTTTGTGCTCTTACTTTTAGCGCTGACTCAATTTTTCTGGAGTAATCCTCTTTGTCACTAAACATTTCTGAAAATTTTTCTTTAAAAATAGCCCAAGATGAAAGGTCATCCTCAATGTTATCGAACCAACATTTAGCTGTCCCTTCCAAAAAGAAGACAACGTTGGCCAAACACATTGTTTCGTCCCAACCATTTAAAAGAGCAACACGGTTGAAATCTTTTAACCATAGGTGAGCAAATTCAGTGGCCTTACCTGAAAAATTAGGAGGGCTTCTTGGGTATTGAAGACATGTGAAAGTGGTAGCTTGCACACGTGGCTTTTCTTCTACTTCACTCATACCTATGTCGAGCGGCGGCAAGCTTTGCAAACGTCGGCTTCTTCTCAAAACACCGTCCAGATTAAATTATCTTGTCGGAATCGTACCCGGCTTCTCCACCAAATGTAGTGATGAAATAATTAGCAAGCCGTATGGCAATTAAGAACAATTTAATAAGCGAGAGAAATTTATATGAAGTTTATACAGGTTGTTTATATGAGAACAAAGAAAAGAATCACTAGCGCGAGCGCGGAAAAGAATCACTGGCGCGGCGTGTGCATTCGCACGAGGGTTCACGTGGAACAACCCGGCGCTGGCACGAGCTTCCTGTTCCATGAAGTCGGCCCATGCTACAATATAAATAAAGAATAAAATATTTTATTCTTTTGTCTGATGATGGTAACAACGCTGTTACAGAAATGTCACACACTATTAAATTAATTGGATTAGGTCTTATTTTCTTGTAGCTATAATCTATAATCCAAATTGTGCTTTATTATTGTTATGTTGTAATTTGCATTACATTTGCCGCATCAATATAATTCTAAAAAAAAAACAGGAAGAGAGCCAACAGCACTGGGTGTTTACAGGTGGTCACCCTCCCAAGTACTGACCAGGCCTGACATTGCTTAACTTTGGTGATTGGATGAGAATCAGTGTTTTCACAATATGGCCCATGCTAAATGTGCTTGGGGACAATGAATAAAAGGAACCTCCCATTAATATATACAGTTATCAGAGTCATCAATAATCAACAATCAATAATTATGTCACCGTTTGCTTTTGTGAATGGAATAAATACCCAAATATGGCCATTTTTATAAGCATTGGTGGTTCAGTGGTAGAATGCTCGCCTGCCACGCGGGCGGCCCGGGTTCGATTCCCGGCCGATGCATTTTTTTTTTTTTACAATTTTTAAAACTCATTTATATTATTATTATTGTTAAAATATACAAGTATCAGAGTCATCAATTCTGTCATCGTTTGCTTTTGTGAATGGAATGCTTTTACGTAATATACGTAACTAATATGACTGAAATTTTAGCAGTATGTATAGTAGAATCTGGAAAAACTTATATTGAATATTTCAGGTCTCTATCCCGAATATTCTTCAAGTTATTTGCAAATTTGAGTTGCAAATTTGCTCTTTCGCTCGCAAGCAGCGCCTCTAGCGGTGAAGATGGGAGGTAATATCAGCTGACCTAATGTACATGTAAAACGTGTTTTAACAGGACATAGAAAAAAATATGGAAGATATATTTGTCGCATTTTTAGCCAAGAAAAATTGAAATTGACAGGTTCTGGGCAAAAATAGTTGTTTTTTTTAGTCAGAAAATGATTATGACAATATTGCTGTATCATATTTGATTATCAGATACAAAATTATATCCGGAAAAATTCCAAAAAAGCAGAGACCACGGGTGAAGCCAGTTCATTTTTAGTATGCAGGAACAAAATTCTAACAGAAAAACATTCATTCGAGCAGAAGACACAAAGCCAGATCATCTCTTTATAAAAATATCGCTTCTCAGACACAAAGTTTGGAGTGGGACGTTTCACAAGAATGACATCCACAGCGCCAATTTATAATTGTAACAAATAGTATTTGAATAAAAGCATTCAATCGGGTAAAACCCGGGCGTTGCCCGGGTCATTCGGCTAGCATAAGTATAAAAAGGAATAATGCAGCAAACTTTCAAAGTATTTATGATAATGCACAATTTGGATTATAGATTATAAACACAAGGTAATAAGACCAAATAAATAAATAGTGTGTAAAGTGGTTAACACACTATTTATTTATTTGGATTTGGTCTTATTACCTTGTGTTTTTAAAGTATTTAGTAACTGAATATACAGAGAAGAGAGAGAGATTTATATTTTAAATAAATTGAATATATTTTGGTATAGTTTATATTCATTGTTTAATATATAAATATATTCAAATAATTTTTTTTTTAATCCTGTGAAGAAATGCTATAAAAAATAAAGAACTTCAAACTGGAAACCAATAACTGAATTGTATCCACGATACCATAGATCTCTACACAAGCCTACTGCATGACTTTATAATAGATTCCCTGCAAACCATTCTAATGAAAACTAAAGAAGCATATACAGACCACCTTAAAATCTTGAAACTTACAGATATCTGTTTAAAGAGCACTACAGTTCAATTCACCGGAGAATACTGCAATCAGAAAAAGACACACAGATGGGAAACCCACTCTCTACAACCCTAGCTGAAATAATAAAGCACAATTTGGATTATAGATTATAATACAAGAAAATAAGACCTAATCCAAATAATTTATTAGTGTGTGACGTTTCAGCAACAACATTGTCACCATCATCAGACAAAATAATAAATCTATCATTTATTCTTTTGTCTGATGATGGAAACAATGCTCTTGCCGAAACATCACACACTATAAAATTATTTGTATTAGGTCTTATTTCCTAGCTGAAATAATTTTATCTACCATTGACACTTGGATAACCAAAACAAAATGCAACAAAATTTTACTCTGGTCAAGGTACGTAGATGATATCATGTACACATCATTACAGAAATAGCAAAAACTATATCCTGGAAACCCTCAATAGCTTTAAACCATCAATTCAATTCACATTAGAAAAAGAAAACCAAAGAAGCTTACCATTCCTAGACATCATGTTAACCAAAAATATGACCAGTTTTACAACAAAAGTTTATAGAAAACCTACCTCCTCAACGCAGTACCTACATTTTTCTTCCAATTCCCCTATCTCCCACAAAATAATAGTCGTACGTACCTTGACAAAAAAAGCCTCTCTCTTTACCCACTATTCATCAAAAATAGAGTATAATGAAGAAATTGATTTCTTCGAAAACCAACTTCTCCAATCTGGATACCAGCTTCCCTTCATTAAAAGAAATAGATATAGACCTGGAACCCCCAGAAATAACTGCAGTCATTACATATCTACCTGATACTTACTATACACAGATTCCACAATTGCAATAGCCTGCAAACTTTAAAAATTCGGCATAACAACCATCTTTAGAAGTTCACCCTCCATAGCCTCACTTCAAGAAACTCGATCACCAAAAGCATTCATCAGAGACAAGAAAAATATTTGGTTTATCAAATCCCCTGTCTTAATTTCAGTAGTGTCTACATAGGTGAAACCTCAAGAGACCTCTCCAATAAAATTGAAGAACACCAAAGAAATATTTCAAAGCACAACCCAAATTCCCTATCAGTTGAACACATCAATGAAACAGGCCATACCCCAGACTTCAATAATACCAGAATCCTACATAGAAATACCACAACTAAAACCCAAAGATCATCCTTGAAGCAGGAGAAACCATCAAGAACCCTAAAGCAATAAGTATACAGCTACAATCACATATATTCCCCTCCTATCTTAATATATACTGTAGATATAAATATTTTCACATATAAAACAATAGTCAGTCTATTCATTAAGTTCATCAACCTTTTCATAGTTAATTCTTTAAATTTTAAATATGTAAATTCTTATGTCTGATATTTACATAAACTTATCTTTAAAGTGCTATATAATCTCACTCCATTACCTTATTTATACGTTTTAGTTAGCTGAAGAAGGGCTTGCCCAAAAGCTTCTTTAATCAAGTAAATAAAAAATAGTTGCGGCAACTTATGCCCAATATGTAGGTTGAAAATAGTTTGAATTGCTATTTAGGATAAATTATAATTTGAAAATGTATGATTCAAACATTTAACTGCCTACTTGACTGCATTGATAGAATGCAGTTAGATGGCTTGGCTAATCAGTGGTGAGAACCCTCTCGGTGGCTTCACTTATCTTGACTTTATAAGAAACAGATAAGTTCATACAAAGTAATAACATGCATCAATATATAACGAATGAAACATTAAAACACCAATGTTTCTTTACACAAATAAATCAACCTTCTACTGTCCTTAATGAGATTGTTCTTATTGTTTGTGGAAGAGCATTGCTCGATGCAAATATTTAAATGTAATTCTACTGCCCTAAAAGCTTATGTCCAAAGTTTGCTTAAATACCATTTCTAGGATTCTACCCTTCAGTGCAGTATATAAAAGCAGAATGATCCAATACAGTATTAGAGCTCTAAAGAAGCGGTCTGGTAGATTAAATTGGCAAAACTGCTGGGAGGGTTCACCACTGATGAGCCAAGCCCTCCCAATTATATTTTTTCATTGCAGTAAGGAAAGTGGAAGTTTGATTTATTTATGAAAAGAAACATTCACGTCTTAATATTTTATTTGTTATAAACAGATAAGTTCAAATGAAAAAAAAATTGAAAAAAATTCACATTACAATTTGTTGATATCAAAGCAAATTGTTTAACTTTGTACAATATATATAGTCTGACTTCTTCAACTTTACATTAAGGGATCAGAGTTTCCAGTTGAATTGTTCTGGAGACTATTCCACTTCCTTCACAGACAACATTTCAATAACTAGGAGGAGTTGGAAGACGGAAGGGTGAAGGCCCAGAGCTGGTATTGCTATGGGACCACAGCAAGATGGCTTAAGGCAGGGCAGAAACAATATATTGTGAATACCATGTATAATTCATTAAAAAGTAATGCATTATATATATGGAATAAAGTGACCTAAATTTTGCAAAACTTTTGGTCCACCCATTATATTTTAAAACATTGAATTATTATCTGTTTTATATGAATATTTGTCTGCAGATAAAATATGAGCTAAAATTGATTTTAACGAGCTTTAATTTAGAATCAAAAAGGCATATCCTGACCACAATCACATGAACTTTTTTTAGATGGCAGAACGCCATCTAGTGGAATAGAGAAATCAACTGAACATTGATTTTTTATTTTTTCACACAAAAAAAAAAAGCTTTTGTTTCTAATTTAAAAATATATATATATTCATTAAAATTAATTACACTGCATTTTCAATTAAAAAAAAAGGAATGCCTATATTTTCAAACATTGAATTATTATGAATTTTATATGAATATTTGTAAAATGTCTGCCAATTGAATAAGAGCTAAAACTATTTTTAACAAGCTTTCACATCAAATTTTAAAGAATATACAGTCTACTCTCGTTATAACGCCACCCTCGCCTTACGCCGCTTTTTCGTTTTGACCCAATCGACATCAATGTATTTTTCTCGATATAACGCCACTCCCTCGCTGTTCGTCTTCCGCCGCTGATTTTTCGTATCCCAAGTAGCAAAAACCACTCGTTATAGCGCCGCTCACAACGTCCCTCACCCCCCGCTCCCCATTTCCTGTCTGCATTTTTTAGGCCAACGGCGCTGGACTTTGTTTGCTGTTGACACAACAGATAACAGATTGTGTGAACAGCAGGAAGATCCTTTTCCTGCTTGTTCCTGGGACATACACAGTCGCTTCATCCTTTGCTAATGTCAACACAACAACTTTATTGTCGTATCATGAGTTCCCAAAAGTTTAAACGTGAGTCGATCACCATTGAAAAGAAGAAGGAGATATGCCAGTTGGCAAGAAATAACCCTACGATGTCGAAGAATGAGATTGGAAAGCGTTTCTCACTTCCACGAACAACTGTCCGTGATATTCTCACTCAGGCTGAGAAGTGGGAAAATTATACTGTTGGTTCTTCAAAGAGACAAAGAGTCGGAAAATTTAGTGACTTGGAAG